TTTGCAATGCATTTTAAACACTGAACGCCCCCCCCGCCCGATTTCAACACCTAAACTAAATGTTTTAGTGTGGCCTGGGGGAAGAGGACTTCGGAATTTCACAGAAAACACCCAATTCTTAATAAAACATTTAAAAATATTCGGTTAAAAACCTTTTTAATTGCTTAGCCTCTCGATTTATTTCGAGAGAGAATTTACTGAAAAAGTAAATGTTATAAATATTCCATATTTTGTCAGTGGTTTCGCATACCATAGCTCAAGTCATTTTTAAAATAATGTATGAATATGTAGGAAAGCTATAATTTTGCTCATATCATCTTGACTATTTGGCTGATGCTTGATACTTCTTTGCCTTGCATGGCTCCTATAAATGGGATCCTACTAACTTCTAGAACCATTGTGGCACATCGGGTCTCTCTCTCGTTCTCAAGGAGAACGAGAGAGACTTGATGTTATTTTGCACTTACAAAGTTCACTGTGTCCAAACCCCAATCTGGCTTTATGTCTGGCTCTGCTCAGCGGGGGCTCAGGATGTCAAAGAGGTAGCCTACCGGTTCAAAGTACATCGCACATAATGTTAGCTAATTGTCTTGTTTTCTTCCTCCCTCTCTTTCTCTCTCTCTCCATAGCAGGGCGTGTTTGGGGCTCAGTGCTCTAACCCAGCCATGAGCATCATCGGGGCTGAGGATGAGGATTTCGAGAACGATCTGACTGATGTGAGTGATTTTAAAAAGAGGATGTAATGTTGGCGTCACCACTCAGCTTTGTTGTCTTTATCTCTGCATCCTATTTCAGTTGTTACTTGGCTCTATTTGTGTCTTCTCTCTCTCAGGTGGTGGATGACCATTGCACACACTTCAACAGTATAGACCAGTTGAAGGATCGGCCGACCCACCTGCTGGTTTTCTTGCAACATGTCATTCTGCAGTTTGACCCTGCTCCCTTGGTGAGAACTGCAGCTTCTATAATGCAACACCCCATCTATACAGGATGCGCTGTAGCCATGTTTTTCAGTCATCCATCTCATTAGAAGTCTGATGTAACAGATATGCGTCTATTTTAATCAATACAGCCGTCTACATGGGCCATGTAATGACTTGAAGTGTGAGCTGAAGTGCGCTTTTGGCTTTAGAGTTTGCTTTCATTACACAAACATAGCGTTGCAGTGTGTGTTAATGCGAGTGTGTGTATTTGTACTGCTAAAACAACATCTAACCTACAAGCTGTTGTCAGTCAGTGACAATTTTCATAGATTTTAAAATCACATCAATCTTATCAATCACTCTTTTGACATTTTGTATTGTAGCATTCCAGCAATTCATTAAAAAAAACATGATTTTATCAGTTAATAACAAAAATAATCATTAGTTGCAGCCATATTATGTATGCCTGATACAGTAAGTAAGTTCAATATTGTGGTGTGTTGATTTGATATTGGCCAATTTAATATTTAATAAAATAAATAATAAAGCTGCTGTTTTGTTGCCTACAAATTGGGCATTTTGGCTGTTTTTGATAGTGTAAGTACAGAATAAATACAAACAGGAAATGAGGGGAGAGCGAGAGGAGGGGTATGACGTGAACAAAGATCCCAGTTGGAGTTGAACCAAGGACTTTGTGGTTGTATGGTATTCATCTTAACCACGAGCCCCCACGGACTTCTCCTCCATTTGGAAGTTTAAAGAACTGCACGATTGTGATTAAAACAATGATTAAAATGAATTTGCTCAAGATTGATAATCCTGATTATTTGATTGAGGATCATTGATCATCCAACTTTAGTAATAGAAAAGAACTGTATTGCATTTGACCAAAAGGAAAATCCCTTTTATTATTACAACCTCATATCATAACAAATGAGCAGACAGATGGCTGAATAGAGAGAGCTTGATTAAATGTAAAAGAGAAACAAATTCCCCGTGAGTTTTGCTAAAGTGTGGGTTAAAAGACTTGCCCCCCTTGTATGTGTGTGTTTGACTACATGTGTGTCAGTGCTGATATAAAGCATGCCTGTCCTTTCCCCTTTGTTCTGCATGCAGACACCGTGACCCACCCAGGTACTGTTACACCTCCCCACAGTCATGACACCCTCCCTCCCGCAACCTCACCCTCTCCTTTATTACCCCTTTACCTCATGGAGGTCCATGCAGAGTCAGAACATCGGTTTTAAAAACCAATATCGTTGTGGAATTGGTGGTGTGTGTCCACTATCCCAGTGGTTCTCCTCCTAGGGGTCGTGACATAATTTCCAGGGGTTGTTAAATGGATGTGGAGAATAAAATAAAATACCATATGGTGGAAAACGGTGTGGAATGAGACACTAGAAACAGCTCTCGGCGTTATCAGCCCTATAATTACAGTCAAAATGGGATACAAACTCAAAAACACACTATACTATAGGCTACATAACTTGTTTTTATAATGTTAGTAGTAATATGAGTATGTATTTCTATCTATGTATTTTCTATCTATTATTGTTCTTTAAGGTCTAAAGACATTTTCATTGTTGACTGTGAATATAGCCAAAATTGAATTAGTTGTTCTGTCTGTGAACACCAACCTCATTATTCTGGGGGGTCCCGACTCTAAAAAGTAGAGAACCACTGCACTATCCCACATAGAAGACAGTAGTTACAGTGTTTAATGGATTATTGAGATTGAGATATGTGCTTGATTATGGCTGAAATTACAATTAGATGTTGAAATACCCAATAATTTGATGAAAAGGACGCTACTTTGTTTATCAGCAACTTGACTTTGAAGTACATCAGATGAAATTCAGATTTTATATATTATGTCATACCAGCATATCATATAAGTGTGTGACCTTTTTACTAATGATATCAAATACTCTTTGGACTGTAGTAATACAGCATACAGGACAGTAAAGCACCCACTGATCTTCTGTCCGTCTTCTCCTCTCTCAGCTGTGTTACCTCCATGCTGACCTCTTCAGGAACCTCAGTTCCAAAGAGACCAAGAAGCAGTTTGTGGAGTTTTACAACACTTTCTTGGACAAGGGTGCGGTAAGTAGCACACTACACCACCATTTCCTGCAACACATTGTCCGTATGCCAGCTCTAAGTGGATAAGGACGGACTTGAAATAATGAGCAATCTGGTTGTCACAAACACATGAATTTATTGTAAACTTAAAGGAAGATAAGAATAATTATGTTAGTCAGCAAATAAAAACACGCCAAGTAGGCAGAGAGGAGGGACGTCTCACTGATAACATGCAGGCACATGCAGTGTTTTATTATTATGCAACTTAATCTAGCCCAAGTGATTATGAACGTTATTACAGAGTGAGCGATTTATTTAAGGAAGTACAGATCCAATTCCATTTTCCTAGAGTGTCTTTTCAGCTCTTGTGTTTTTATTTATTGTCCATCTCGGGTTTGAGGAACAACGTCACAGCTTTTTTTCAGGTTTTCAGATCTGTTAAGGACTGAAGACCGTTTGGACTCAATAATGAATTATTATATAATAATTATTATTATATTATGAATGAATTATCAAATTTATGTTTGCACGGTTTACTAGTTTGAAACATTTCCTGTAGTCCTATAATGATAGACTTTAGGATTTAACCTCCTTTGGTTGCTCTCTGTATTTTATATTTCTGAAAGTTAGCTTCAGAGAGTTGTCAGTTAGTTAGTAATTCTCGCTCCTTCAGTCTTTGATGGTGTGTATTATATAAAAATCAATTTAGAAAAACATAGCAGCCTTTGCAATATAGATATTATATCTTTTCTCATTGTGTCATATCAATCATATCAATAGGAATTTGATATACGGTGCAGCTGTATTCTGCGCAGATGTGTGTCTGCTCTGTTTGCTCTGACTGTATTCTGTGTCTGTGTAGCATCCTTTCGTTCCTGGCTGTCTTTCCCCTCCCTGCACACCTGGCCTCTGTCACTTCTCTGTTATATTTCCTCCCCAAAGCTCATGCACTGTACATGTCTTGTCACTCGCTCCCTGTCTGTCTGTCTGACCGACCCCACTGCTTCCTGTCAGGATCGTGGGAAAGCCCTTTAGGAGGAATCTTCCTCTCTTAACTTCTCTTTTTTTTTTTTTTTTAAAACCCCATCTCTTTTGTAAACCCATTGACTTAAATTTGGCTCATGTGGTTATTTTCATGACAGTGACAAAGTCATGTATCTCCTATTTGGAATATGTGTTTTCTTTCTTTTCGTTGTTGTTTTTTATTTTATTTCTAATGTTTAAATGACCCCTTGTGGTGGTATGTTGGTACTGCAGACTTTATTTGGATTCTTATCACCACACCTTTCCTTGGGTTAAAACATAATAAAGTAACAATTATCCATAAACTCCTGTGCCAGTTTATTAGGTACACCTATCTATAACTAATGCAGCTAATGTTTTAGAGAGTTGATTCAACTTTATGGCCATTTTGGAGGCTGTAGTTTGTTGTGCTGTTTTGTATCATACAGTAAGGTGTTTATCTTATTTAGCCTACCCTTGTTGATTTAAATGTGGTAGACAAAATAATAGAAACAGCTGTCAGTATGATGCAATACAATTCAGCTGCACAAATAGCTTCCAAAATGACCGTACCATTGAATCAATACCCCCCGAAAACAGTTTCAACAAGAACATTATAACCTTCATTAAGGTTTATTACAGGACTCTTTTATCAGACTGCTAGCTAGGTGTACCTAATAAACTGGCAACTGAGGTAGTCCTCAGTTATAAATGCTTTAAATGTTATATTTAATAATATTCTAATTACTGTCTCTGTACCTATTTTGTTTTTTTCTCCACAATATAGATTCTCAAAGTGTTAATACCACCTATAATAGTTTATGAATTGGGTAAGTTATTTTTCATATATATATATATATATCCATATAAACAAACCTCAGCCCCACATGGTGTCCCTCATTCACTCACTTCTCCTGTCCCCCCTCTCCAAGACCGAACCCGTCCAGATCTGCTTTCTGACGAAACCCAAAAGCGTTTTGCTCAGGACATTCAGGGCTTGCAGGTAGCTGAAGTGGCCAAACAGCTGGAAGATTTCAGGTGAGAATCCCCTTTCTGAACTCTACTCAGCCAGTCAAGCATAGTTTTACCCGGGGCAGGATCAGAGCTCTCTGCTTTGGCACTAATAGTTGATATCTGTTGAGGGACTTTATGCTCTTAGCTTTGATCATGATATGAGTTTACTGTAATGTTTATACTGTATTCAAACCTAAAGATGTTTAATTAGTGTGCCTGAGCCCTACGTTTTTCGGTCGACTACTCCTCCCGCAGTTTTAATCGCACACAAAAAGGTTCCAAAACGTGCGGCTCGGTGGGGA